ATTTCATAGCATAATACAAGTAATGTACACACATATAAATTTGTGAAATCCTTAATTTTTGCTATTCTGCAGCCAGCCAATATATCAATATCCTTGCACATAGATTCAATTGTGAATCAACTGACATATTCAAAAAAAAAAACAAAAGCGTTCAAATAAGTTCAGAACCTCAATAAAAATATAAATATCTAACTGCTTAAAACTAAAATTCCATGTTTTGCTGTACTTTGTAAAATTAAGTCATTCTCGCAGTATCCGTGTAAAAAATGTATGTTGAGCTTACGAAGATAAGTGCTTTTACATATGTATGTACATACATATATGCTGATGTACATATACGGATGTACGCATATGCTTTGGGAGTGAGTATAAAACCCAATGCATTTAATATTATACAAGATGCAGAACTAGATTAGAGGTAAACACACATAATTCAATGTAAATACGAGTATACTATGCGTTTAAATGCTTAAAAAAGCGATATTGCATTCGAAATAAATGAAGATCATCAATATTTCAAAAAAAAAAACTGTTTGTATTTCAACAAAATCGAATTGCATTGATGTAAAATGTAAAATGCCAAGTACATATGCATTTGTCTCATATTTTACGCTATCAAAATATGTATATTTGCTATTACTTTTCAACACCACTTGCATTGCATGAACTAATTTAAACAGCTTTAAGCGTTTCTTTATTTTTCGTGGCACAAACAAATTGGGTAAATAAAACAAGAATTGCACGCTATGAGCAAAAATTTAATAATTATTTTTGGTATTTAGAAGACTTGTTTGTTGAAGAAGTAAGCGCGGCGGTAGGCAAAAAAAAAAAAGAGCAACATGCTGCAAATTGTTGCTTACGCTTAAATTAAAGAACTTAAGCATACATTTAAGTGGCTTGTATGTATGCATACTATATATTGGACTGCCCTTTCTACAAAAAAGAAACGAAGCATTTATTTGTAAATAATATCACGAAAGTACGCATTCAATCTATACTTCTAAAACATTCTTTTCGAACGGTCGATATTTGCTTTTGATTTTCGACAAAATCTACGGGGGCATTGACTGCAATCAAGTGCCTATATTCTTTAGAAAACATTTTTTATTTTCTAAATTTTCATGCTAACCGCTGTGTTTACTCAGCTATTATGGATATTAATATTTGCATTTATTTTTTAAAGGGACTTTTTGCACGAGGAGGAGGAATTTTTGCAGCGGCAAACGCTACTATGTATTTATATGATTATTTTTTTTTTGTATTTTAAATAACGCGTTTTCTTTGCAACAAAGTACTATTTTTTATGTTTATATATTTACGTAGATAGTAATGCCATGTATGTATGCCTGTATATGGATATTTTTCTTTGCTATTCGCGCCTACAACTGTTTACTGCTTTGCTTTGATTACTGTTTCGAGGTTCATCTACTAAAATTTGAGATTATTGACAATTATAGTTATTTCTTTAGTTTCGCTATTAACGTTTTTCAATGTTGCATCTGTCCATTAACAGTCATTTTACTTTCTTATTGACTAGAGTGGTTATTTCGCTCAAAGCTTTCAGAGTCCGGAAGTATCCTCCATCAAGGTTTTGTTGCAGCAATATCCTCCCTCTTGTGGTGAGCTGGTAAATGAGATTAAATTTTGTTGATCAGTTTTTCTTAATATGTGACATTGCCTAACATAGTATAGCTTAACATGACAGAACGTAACAAAAAATAATATAGCATTAGCATAAAGAAGTGCTTAAGTTGACTTAAAGAAAAATATGAAGTGGAAAGATTTTTAATTACTTATTTTTAATCACTACACCAAATAGCATTTTGTTATACTTCTGTGTCTAATTTAAGAAATAAACTTGTTTAAGGTAAATTTTATAGAAACTCACAAAGTCTGACTTAAGCACTTTTTCTAACATTTTCANTATGTAGTTGGCATTTGCCGTCGCTGTGACGGCGGTGTGTGAAGCGGAACGCATTGGTCCGGTGTGCTGATGGTGGTTGTTTTGTTGTTGTTGTTGTTTTTGTTGGTTTTTGGTGGGTGCGGGGACGGCGTTTGTATTGTTGCTCCGTTCATCACCGGAGCTATTGGCGGCTTGTTGCAACTGTTGTAATTTGTTTTTCTCGGCGCGCCGAGCGAGTATCTCACGCGATTTGGCGGACAAGAAGCTGTGACGCGCGCCACCACTTCCCTGTTGTGCGCTAGCTGTGCCCTGTGCAGACGTTTGACCCGGCATCGATATCGAACGATTCTTGAACATATCGCGCGATGAGTGTGTGGATGATACAGAGGACAGA